ATTATATATTATATATATACTATATTATATATATTATATATACTATATTATATATAATATATATATAATATATATATAATAATATATATATAATTTTACTATATTATATATATATTATATATATAATATATATATTATATTATATTAATTTAATATTAATTTTATATTATTATCATTACATTCAGTCAACGTAATGATTGGTATCAACAACCTAACCAACGGGAAATTGTTTCAATTACAGGTTACGGTATCAGGAAGAAGCGATTCGCGGATACGAAGAACAGGACGAGCAATTTTATTCATTCGTTTGTAGCCAGCGTGGTACGCCATTGGTGCATATTTCGCACGTGTGACATCATTCGTGTGATGTAATCGCACGTCCAACCAACTCCCACATGCACTCGGGACGTAAGGGAACGAGAGACTTTGTTCGTGGTACACGTCTGAAAAATATGTAAGCGGTACGTGCACTTGACAATACCGATCGTACGTTGCTTTCCTTCCATCCGATCGCGATAAACTCGTTGCAAAAAAGTCTCTGATGTAACGAGCCAAGATAATTTTCTAAATCTAATAACGTGGCCGTTTTTATCTGATAAAAAGTTCCCACTTTTGATAAAGACACGTATTTCTTGCAATTTTACGAAGTGAAATATAATTATTATGAAATTTAATAAATAACAATACAATTTAATAAATAACATAATATAATTATAAATATTTTATAAATTTCATAATATAATTTTATAATATTCCATTTGTATTATTCTTTATTGAAAATTCGACACGCTGTTGAATGATTATATAGATAATATAAAAAAACCTCTTTTTTCATTCTATGTGATGTAACGATCGAAAATAATTTTTTAGCTGTGATAAAAATATCAATGCGCGAGGAAACATCGCGCATTGATTTAAGGTTCTAATTCAACATACATGCAGAATTCTTTTTGTTTGAATATATATATTATTACTCTCTCTAATATTTATTTTATATCATATTTGATACCAATTTTTTAATCCAATCAAATGAACGGTAAATATTACTAACTAATAAATTTCATTCAGCTGAAATTACATTTTACGTTTAGATAATTCCTGTATTAATTGCAATTACTTTAACCAATATAAAACCAAATCATAGAACTGAAATCTTTTAATCAAATGAGTTTTGAAATCTTTTTAGAAGCCATAACATTTTCACGTAAATGAAGGAAACCTGTAATGATTAGGAGGAGATTGATTATGTAAGTGAATTATTGAACAAAATTTGGAAATAAAACTCGCCGTAATTTTATGAGTCGACAGACATGACTTCACATGACTGCTGTAAATAGGACACGTACATACACTGAAAGCGAAATTGGGATACACTTTTAGAGAAGGATTATTGGTTTAGGAATTGTTTGCAAGTCGTTCATGACGTCCAGTTTGCTTGGACGTCGAACAATTAAAAAAAAAAAAAATTAAAGATGTTGGTTTAGGTCTTCTCTATTAACACTATTATCCTGTTTACGAAAATCAAACTTCAGTTTTCGTGCAATTCTATTTTAAAACGTGACCAATATTTGTTTCTTATCTTAAAATTTTCGAAAAATAGATGTACAAACTTCCTTATCTTGTTTTTAATCTGAGAAAAATTTATTTTTCGAAAAAATAGATGTACAAACTTTATCATTGAAGATACTTTATCATTCTCAAAGTACGAAGAATTTACATATTCACATTTGCTAATAATAAATTTTCATTAGTTCATGCTATAGATAATCTTTGTAATCACACTTTTACATTTACATTCGCGTTCGTCACATGAATTACTTGATCTCTCATTTCAAGACAGATATTTCTTTGAACAATGAATATAACAATACGATAAAGTATAAATTATAATATTCATTAATTTGCATAAGAAAAATTATATAGTTATAAAAATTATCTTGTGAAAATTCTTCTCCTTCGAGAAGAATTAAATTGTTACAATTCAACTAGCATCTAGAATTAAATTAAATCGCATCGTTGTTGTCAGAAAAGTGAGAAAATAAGACGACATGTTCTACTAATTTTAAGAATAATATTTCCAATTCTAAAAGCTATGTCTATCAAACGAGAAGAGAAATAAAACAAAAAATATCTTTGCTCTGAGAATTTTGAAAAAAAAAAAAATCGTCTGAATCGATGGAATTCTTATCGCCGTGTTTCACTTGCAACGCTCGGCAACCTCGCGATTATGTAATTTCAATCAGCGATACGCTATAAAAGTCTGTTTGCTCGATCGACAAGATGAAATCATGCGAGCGATTATGTTTTATTCATTCTCGGATTGTCGTTGCTCTGTAAAAAAGAAAAAAACCTCGCGACCTAACGCGTTGCTTTATCATTTACCATCGGAATCGGCAAATATACTACTATTGCGCAATCTCGATCAATTTTAAATTTTCTTAAATAACTATTGTGAATAAATTGCTCTGACGTGTTAACATTCGTTGTGCGACAAATACAAATCTTTCGCCGATAAAATGTAGGAAAATATAGATAATTAATAAAAAATTTAATCACGAAAGAATGCTTGGTCATGTTATGTTAAATCAATTATATTGCAGATATTATTAATATTAATCTAAATATTCTTTATTTTTACTTTTTTTTTTTTTTTTTTTTAATATTTGATACTCCCTACTTTTAATTTCTGTCTTGAAGTGTTTGTTAGTATTTTACAATATTACAATACTAAGATTATCATTGAGTTATAGATAATCACGTCATGAAAATATCTTCTCTGTCATCTCTAACTATACTACAAAATAAAATCAAACACCGATCCTAGAATTAAATAATTTAATCAAATCTGCCTCAACCAGTTACATCTTTTATATCGTATAACACGAAGGCCATTTTTAACTTTAAATATCTTTACTTCATTTGTAATAATATTTCATTTAAATAACTTTCAGCATATTATTTCACTGCTTAATTCTCAACGTGTTAAATAACATCAATCTATCTTTTACACGATTCCATTTATCTCCATCGTTATCAAGGAATCTTTACACGTTTTATTCATAATTAATAAGTTCACCGTTTCTCATTGAAAAACGTGCACGGTTACGCTGCTGTAGAATCTTTATTTGCCGTTCCAGGAATAGTTACTACGGTATATTATTCCGAACACATATAGAATTAGTTACGCGTTCGTGGCAGCGAAGAATTGCACTTTCGTTCGCCTTCACGATGCTAATTGCAAAAAGAGTTTTAATTACACGGATATAAACAACCGTTCGTGAATTATTATTAGCGAAAGAGTAAACGTCATATATTCATCAAAATAATATAAGTGATCATTTCCAATAAATAAAATTGATACATATTTTTTGAAAGTGCAATAAAATGAGGCACATCACATGTTACCAACTTTCAAAAAATCTGGTACAATCTTGCACTTTAAATTTAAATATTATAAATACTTTCTTACAGAACTAAACTAATTCTTAGACCTTCTACTCTTTTGTCCGTCAGAAAAATATCCCGATATTTTGATCGATATATATATTTGACGTAACAATGATGATCATAAAGAATAAAATCACTTTGCATAATACTTGAAAATATTCTGCCAAAATTATTAATAAATAACTGATTCCGATTGCTTTTGAACTTGCACAGTGTACGAGTGCCATTCAAAGATTTACAATGAATTAAGATTTCAGAAAGAAATAATGTCTTTCTCGCGTAGACAAGTATTTCATTCACGATTAAACAATAAACACATAAATAAAATTAACGATTTTAAATAAAACACTTTAAAAATATCAGAAAATCATAATTACACCGTCCTTATTTCGTCCAGAAAGGAAGAGACGCTGCTTTGAAACATACATTTCTCGATCAGAGGTATTATTTATCTTCCGCCGACAACGGCACACTACGAAACACGTAAGAGACGTTGGTCCGTGCAAATAGAGATTGCTTTGCAATTGTTATCTCTATGCGAGAATTGCGTGAATCGTGCTCTGGAAATAGTACACACGTGTTCATTCTACTATATCGCGAGCCTAGAAAACACGGAGTCTCTTTTAGAAATTCAGATTCCTTCTCCTTCCTTCTGAGCAGTAGCGTACTTTCATGCGAGTTTTAAAAAACAAGGGAGAGAATAATTATAGCAAGATGCGCGCAGAATTCCATGAAATGAATTGCAGGCTTGAGGTGGGTAGTCGAGAATGATAGGTAATTTTAATAGTCGAGTGGTCGTGGAATGATATTGGACTTGTCAGAATTTCCTAAGAATCGTTTCTAAGCGGAAAATAAACGGCTATAGATATTCAAATACTTTATTATTTTAATAAGAGTTATTGTTACAAGCATAGTTCAAGTATTATCTAATACCACCGTAAAACTTGTCGAAATAATAATCACACGATCAATCGAACATTTTTATCTGAAGTGTTCGATAGGTACTTCAGAGATCACATGAAGATCAAATCGTTGATCCATTGTCAAAAATCTTGTTCCAGAAATGAAACTAATTTACTCTCTAAAACAGCGTAACATTTTCGTCGTTAAACGCTAACGC